AATATATATTCAACTATAACACACCCAAGTGCAATATGCATTCCACTACGACACACCCAAGTGTATGCGAAAACCTTGTACGAATGGGAAAGGCCTTCCGTCGAGCTATGGTTCCTACAAACAAAACTCTGCTACCGTTACCATTCGCCACAAGCTTATATACCGAATTCCGTGGAGTATAGACAGCAGTAGTCGAAACTAAATGGAGTATATACATAGGAGTAGTCCAAACTAAACGGGGTATATACATGGGAGTAGTCTGCACCATACACATACCAGAATAAAGGGTCGTGAAGCAATTCGTACATGACAAATAGTTCACCCGATACCCGTGGCTGATATAACGCAACCCCCTATTCTGAATCAAATGATCTCCACATTAAACTACTAGACATTATACGAAAATAATCATAGTCACCGTACTAAACTACTTAATAGTATACGTAAATAATCATAGTCACCGTACTAAACTACTTAACATTACACGAAGATAATCATAGTCATCGTAATAAACTACAAGACATTACAAGAAAATAATCATAGTCACCGTACTAAACTTAACATTATACGTAAATAATTATAGTCACCGTACTAAACTACTGAACATTATAGGTAAATGATTACAGTCCCCGTGCTGCACCTACCCAGATACAGGGTTAACGCAGCGAATACGTATTCTTCTGAGCTGATCTGTAGCTTGTGTTCACCGCCCACAATCATCTGCGTGTCGTAGATGATGTAGAACGAGAACAGCAACGCGCCGCATGACGAGTAGACGAGATCCATGATGCGATTCCTGAAAAGAAGATAGGGAGTGTAGGTACAATTAGGCAGGCACCCAAACTCAGACCAAAAAGAGCAGGACAACCAGAGATAATGCTCAGTATGATGGATTGCGCCAATTAAGTATATAACGGGCATGACTAGTGCGGATGGGTATGAGACCTTTTGTATTCGGAAAAGCTTATCAGTGCGTCTGAATTGCCACAAAGGTATGGGCATGCATGGGCAAGGGACAATTGAGCGAGAAAAAAAACCACCGCTGCGAGCGCAAAGGGCAGTGAACATAAATCCAGCGATATGTGAAAGCATGTTGAAAGTGCACATTTGCAAGAGGTATATAT